AAATTTGTGGAATTTTGAGAAATACAATGAAATCGAGATGGAACTATTTTCATATTCTCATCCTAGGTTCAAACTGAAGTGTGCATTAAAATAGTATTTCTCCATTGCATGCTAGTAGCATAGTAATTATGCATTAATTTTCTGGGTGACAGATTTTAACAAGGACATTAGAACCATCAATCCCAAGTATGTCCACAGAAGGATGAAGGATCTGGAAACCAAGTCCTTTAAGGCACCAGAAGAGGCTGGTGACTTTGATCCCATGGAAGCTAATGAATTCACTTCAAGTTTAACTCTGGATTTTACCGGAGTTGTCCAAGTTCCTGAAAAACAGGTGCAGCACCTTGGATAGCTCCTCTGACGGTCAGCCTCAGCCTCCGAGTCCGTTCATCCTGTCTCTCAAGTCATCAGAGTCGCTGGCCTCTGCTATGAAGAAGAGTTGTAAGAGTGGATAAACTGCTGGTTAGCTCAGTGACTTAGATCTCTGGCTGCGGGGTCAGAGGCTGGGAGTTCAATTCCCCATGGTGCCTCTATAAGAGGGGGAGGCACCATGGGGCTGGACTTGATGACCCATAGGAGGATGACCCATAGGATCTCTTCCAGCTCTCCAGTTCAAAGATTATTATAACTATAAAAACTAAAATTCCTAATGCTGTCTGGGAGAATCTTCTCTCTCTATGAAGCAGCTGAATTGATTGATTTCAGTCAAGTCCCCAATTTAGAATAACTAAGAAAATGAGTTCATTTAAAGCACTGATTTAAATCCCATTCCCAACTTTCTGAATCATCAATTTCCAGAACAAGCATGGGCATCAATATAACCCACATCTCCTTAGAACTAAAGCAAAAGTCTTTCTAGTGTCGAGGACCAGAATCTAAAAACTCTGGTCATGCAGGCTAGATGCTTTTCCCACTACCATTCATTAATTTGCCTCTTTTCATTTTTAAAATGTGTAAGCCATACTCTGTTCACAAAGGATCAAAGAGTCGCATATAGCCAAATATGATATTAGAGGGATTCCAATAGTTATTATGTTGGTCTTTGTGAGAACAGAACATCAGACTAGACAGGCCTTGGATCTGATCCAGCTGGATTCTTCTTATGTTTTTTATTCAAGAACATTTACTATTACCTAGCATCAGTTGTTTTATGGATACAACCAAAGTGAAAGGCTAAGATGATTGGGATTTCAGTCACTCCTGGAATAGATTATAAGCACCTGCGCTGACCCAATGTGATGGTTCATTCCAGTGCAGCTATTTTGGCTCACATACTGTTGTTTTCCAAATGACTTTGTAGACGCTGTTCTAGTGAGCAGATGTTAATAGCATACCTCGATTCTTCTCTGACATATAGAATTACTCTATGAGAAAACTTTCCTAGGTGGGATGATGATCCTTGTGACATCTCTACAGGGTAGCAGAAGACTTCCTAAGTACCTCATACCTTCTCAACTGTCTTTTTGTTTTATGCAAACTATCATGCTGTCCATATATTTTATATCCTTGTGGGGTTATAGCTCAGTGGGTGGTAGAGTACACACTTCACGTACAGAAGATGTTGGGTTTGATCTCTTGCATCTTTTGGGGGGGGAGATCCCATGCTTGAAACACTGGAGACAAGTGAGAATTGACAATACTAGATTAGTATCCATCTCAATCAACTTACAACTTCTTATATATTACCCAAGGTCCTTCAGAATAACTGATTACCAACAGAGCCTGGGAGTAACTGTTTACTAATAGGAACTACAGTCCTCACTTTCTCTCATTCTCGTGCATGAGAACAAAGACCCTCTCACACACACACATAGTAAGATGGCAAAATGTTTTCTGCCACTCTCAACAAGAGTGCTTGCAATCATAAGAAAACTTCCACACATACTCACCTTCAAAAATTTTGTAGAACTACGATAGGTGCCCACTGGACTCCTAAAACTTACAAGCATCTGGTGTCTTTTAGAAATTAGAGCACTGGATGGGTTGCTGAGGTCTTTTTAATCTATCAGCCTGTCATTCTGTATTTTCTCTATTTATGTCTATGTAGCTTCACAAGGGGGGGGGACTACTAGTTTTGTGCATGGGCATTCTGTTCAAACCATAGATGCCTTGATTAAAAAACCCACAAACCTACACTCTTACAAGCTAAGTTGGACCACATTATGTTGGAAAGTTCTCTGCTACTGAAATAAACACATGGAAACACCACAAGAGTATTCATATGCTCTTTTCTTAAGTCACATTCATCTTTATCAGTCTCTTGCAAAAAAGCTTCATGAGACATCATGCTCTATGTTGGTTAGCTAATTACAGTAATTCATTGTTACCTTTTATGTTATGTATTTGGTACAATAAACTCCAGGCACTCTATGAGACTCCCCTCCCCCATTCGCACAACAATGCAATGAGGTAGGCCAGGCATCTAAAGGACTAGTTCAACATTCTAGCCCCTGGCCTATACCATGTCCTAGCTCTGTTTAGCCACATCCCATGAAGCCAGTGCATTCTGGTACTTGGTCTGGGGCTTGCATATACATACCCTTTTGCCTCCAGTTAGTGGGTATACATGGCTCTCCTAACAAAGTTGTAAGCATAAAATTGAGGAAAGAAGAGCTTCCTGGAGTAAAAACAGGGTACAACCCCACAAACCATAGATATTATTTGAAATGGACCAATGAATCCAGGCAAATCCGTTTACAGCCTAACTGAACACCTGCTCTTCTCAGCATCCATTAATTGAAAGAAAGTCTTGTTGATTTCAATGGGGCTCATTTTCTGCTTCCTATAACCCAGATCAGATTAAAGTTGGTTTCCTGCTGCCATACCCCATGGAGCAAACACAAAATCCACACACACAACCCACACACAAACACCATTTGATGGGGAGTACAGGTAATGGACTCCCACTTCAAAAGAGGGTGGGGAAAGCAAATAATCCAATAGGAAAATGACCAGTTGCACAAGTTTCTCCTTTAGAAGTTTACTTTAAAGCAAGCCTCGTTTTATTCATTTGGATTTATTCTCGGATCAGCACAGCTGGAATGGTAGCACTGACGGATCAGCATCAACTTCCTCAAATGGAAAAGTGGAGAGGAGTTCACAGCAGCACCAACACCCCACAGACAGATGCAATTCAACTGCTCCTGTCATCCCGATGGCCTTAATGGGTCTGGACGTGAACCTGTGAGTCCAACAGGACCCGGCATATTGGTATTTAATGCACAGGGTGTTTGCTTGGAATAGGGACGCCACCAGACCCACGGGCTGGTAGTTTGGAGGACCCCAGCAGCAGAAGGGGGCTTCTAACCGCTTCCTTTTCTGCTGCAGCGGCTCCGGAGCCTCTGAAGCAGGCGTTTAGATGGGGAGGGCGGCGGAATCGTCTGCTCTGAACCTCCTTTTGCCTTCCAGCCCGCGCCCTCCTTCACCAACGCCGACAGACGGAAAGAGGCGCCGCCGCTGAAATCCCGAAGCCGTTCGCCCCCGAACCCCGAGCGAAGAAGCCCTTTCCCTCCCCCCCCCCCCCGCTCCGCTCCCTCCTCCGCCCTTCGCAGGAGGTTAGAATGGAAACGGGAACCCCATTGATCCGATTGG